GGTTGGATTGAAGGTAGATCACTTCACGCTTGCGAGCAGCAACGACAACACACAATTTTTGTGGCGCTGTACTTCCATTGCGTTATATCAGTAAATGGGAGAGACGGCAGTTTTGCTCTCCTAAAGTCAATTCGACATCTCATTTTAAGAAGCTACATTACATTCAAGGCTACTGACAACAGAGCTCGACCCTACATCGGTATCAATCAAGACAAGACAGTTGTCGATAGCAGAGGGACCGAAGAGCGGAAAGCAGAAAGCCAGTTTACGAAGCTAAGTTAAATTACAGTCTTTTTAATTTGCAAAAATGTAGTTGCAGATGTTGAAATTCACAAAAGATTTTTTTGAGAACGGAGAGAATTCTGGTTCCGAACGAAGAGGGTTCTGGAGATTTACTTTCCCACCGTGAATTGTGGGGACTTGTACGCTAGTTCTTTTGTTATAGGATGCAACCAGTCCCAGAAAATGGTCAATTTCAGAAAACCCACACTCTACTTGTTTGAGACGAAATATAGGCCCTAGATTGAATCAATGTTCTGCCATATACAATTTGTTGGAAACCCATAATAAAGTCGTTTATCATTAATCCTTTGTAAGTTTCAATTCAGTGACAACAGGTGAATGTCGTCCGAAAAGGGAGTAGATAGCCCTGGCATCAATCAGTCAAATTTGGTGATACACCCATATTTCTTTGTTTCTTGACACCGTATTGATTCACGTTGACGTTTGATCTGAAAATCTTAAATATCACCTTGTGAGCGTTGACCAATCAGGTTTTCCTGGGTTTCACAGAAATTGTTTTTTTCCAATTTGTTCCAATTCCCACCATCATATATGTGTCTTTAAATTGTACCAAAATAGTACGACCGCTGGAAAAAGGGGCAATTGCAAGAACAATGATTGTTGTCTTAGAAGACAGCTTGGGACACTCCAGTTTCCTTCAGAAAAGCCATAGTCTGGAGAGCACATTGCTCAAACCAAAAGTGGTTGGTTCAAAAACGCGCAAAACGGGGTTGAAGTGGTGAGAAAGTTGGTTCAGAAGGTGAGAAATGAAGAATTATGCATAGGCCCCTACATGTCATGTATAGATGACTTGCTTAACGATGGTTTAGAGATTTGCCATCTTATTCCGTCTTATAACAATTGCTTTCAGAAAGTCAGAAAGCACATGCTCAACTTAAGCGGAGAATGTATTTGAATTAGCAAAGTGTTTTTGTCTGGTGCGAAGGCGGAGAAGTGTAGAAATACAAGATGTCTTTTAGACGATGATTGAGTTTGCCAGTTCCTTCAAAACCAGAGAGAAGATTTAGTTCTAGTAGGCTTGACTTGGGATTCGTAAGTCCAAAGGTATTTAGAATCCCGTTTCACTGATGTATTTACATCTGTTTCTCAACAAAGTTCACTAGTCTTGTTCGGAGTAAAATTTTCTTCAGTTTCAAAACTGTTCCACCGACGCTGGACGCACTGGCAGTACAAAAGGGATTCAATAGAATATTTGGGCATCGGTCAGATAGCGAGATGACTCGAAGCTCGACTCGGAGAGAATCGAAGGCAGTGAAATTGGCCTCAAGTTAACCCTTCTATGGAAACATGCATGGTCAGCCTAGTTTATTACCTGGCCTAATCTTGGCCAAGATAACCCCATTGGTTTAATATGAAAGCCACGAGTATCACCATACTAGAGTTTAGTGGTTTGCGTGGCAATAAAGTTAGAGTCAGAGTCGTTTCTGACAGAAGTATAAAACGAGATGCGTTCAGTACGCCAACAAGACAGTCTCAGCAGACTTACACCAAAATATGGTGATATCCTCAGCGGATGTTTTGTATTGTAAACGTTACAATATATCCCCAGCGGATGATGATTCAGATTTGGCAAATAAGCTGTTCTTTTGTATTCAGAGTATAGTTGTAGCAATAAGCAGTGGGAAATAAAGAAAGTGCTTAATAAGTTGACGCATGATTTTAATCTCGTTAAAGTAACAATCATTGTTATTTTCCTTTTTGGAAGCTCATCTTCAACAGCGATAATTGGAGGCAGCGGATTCCTCAATCAGCCAAAAGTCAAGACCTGGATATAGTCTCGCCAGTCTTCTGCTTTCCATGCTACTCGAGTCACAAGCCCCAACAACAGTCTCTCAGCACAGATCATCCTTCACGAGATGGCGACAATGGGCAGAGTTGCACGGAATATCATCCCTACCCGCAGATCCTTACATGGTAGCCTTATACCTGATCCATATTGGAACTCTGCAACATCACCATGCACCTACAGTCACAAACTCTCTAGCTGCCATGTCATGCGTTCATCTCATGGCTAGTTGGGGACCATGATACAACCAAAGACCCTCTGGTGTCATACACCGCGCTAAAGGTCTGACAAGAACTCTGGTTAAGCCAAAGAAAGATCCAATTACACCAGATATTCTTTCTGAGATGGTGCCAAAATAGGGTAAAGACCGTTCAGTACACATCTTATTTCATATAAGAATCCTGGTCAAGGCCCTTATTTCATATGCCGGGTCTTATCGGCTCAGTGAGTTAGCCGCACTTTAATTTAAGTATTTACGTGTTATCTCATGCACTCGGCCATGTGAATTCAGTTATTATTGCGAGGCAATTATTGTCAACATGTACAGTTGCAATGTTGGAATTGTATGTCAAGTGAGTCAAAGTCTTCCCTTCAGATAAAGACCTTCTTTTGTGTTCAGAAACTTAAACAAATGTTAAAGAAGAGTATAAAGTGATTTCATAGAGGTATAAACCGATGAAGTACTCGAGAGTTTGAGAGGGAAGGTTAGAGTTTTCCCAGAGCAGCCCCATGCTGCTGTTTGAGTCTTAGCGGCTATCAAAGCAGATATCCAACAGGCTGTTCAAGCGTCATGGACGCCATATCAGAGACAGCGAAGGATACTTTAATATATCCAAAAGAGTGATTGCAATATGTTAAATAGCTAAATCCTTTTGGGGATTCAGCATTACAGACCCGTTCTTTATAGTTCATACCGGTTGCTGCTGCAAGCACAAATACCAAAATCAGGATGATTTGATTGTTTATTGTGTAGAATGGTGTTGAAATGATAAATATTGATTTATTCGGTTGAGTACCGGGACGAATTAGAATAAATCTGCTTTATCATTGATATGTAAATGAGACACGGTAGAGTGGTTAAGGGCGGGTAATTTGAATAATGTGTGCGTGGTTGGATTGAAGGTAGATCACTTCACGCTTGCGAGCAGCAACGACAACACACAATTTTTAACAAAGTTGTAAAGTCTGGTTGTAATTTCATAGTTGTTCAATGTCTCAAACAGTATTTATAAGAGACGAACATTGCTACCCTTGCCTGAAGGAGTTGTCTTGCATAGTTCAGGTGTACGTTTCCATTTTTCCAAATATGGTTTTGGTTTTTCGTATCTGGCAGTCAACACAGCAATGTTAGATGGGGTACAAATCCAGAAACAGCCATAATGTAAATAGACGAGTGGTATCTTGCAATTTTTCAATTAAGTATAGTTAAAGGCTCTGAAGCCTAAAGGAAAGTTCTGTAAAGCTTAAAGGTTCAAATGAAATCCACAAGTGGCAATCAAGGTATGGTCGGAGTAGTTTCTGACGGAGGTATAAAACGAGATTTGCAGGTTGGCAGTAAGATTCATAAAGATCAGATCTACTAGATGAGATGCTAGAATTGTTCTAGCGATCTAATGCGTTCAGAACGCAAACAAGTCTGAATAGACTTGCACCATAGAGTATGCGTGATTTATCCTCAGCGGAAGGTATTTGGTATTGTACAAAACCAAAAAAAAAAAAATTTCTGAAAAGCTTGCTTAAAATAATATCAAATGTGGTACGAATATTCAGAAATAACCATAACAATTGTAAAGAGGAGGGAAGTCTCAAGGTTAATTCTATTATTGATTACGGAAATATGCTAAATGAAAGGCTCTTACGCCTAAATGATAGATCCTAGTTCTGTAAATATTGTCTCCATCAAGACGTCTTTAAGGTTCAAATTATTGAATGACCGTAATTAAAACACTGTCGTACCTGGTAGTCATCACAGCGATGAGATTAAACATAATATCAAATGGGGTACGAATATTTAGAAATAATCATAACAATTGCAAAAACGAGTGTTGTCTCAGGTATAATTCTGTATAATTGATTACTTAAATGTGTCTATAATGAAAGGCTCTTACGCCTAGATAATAGATGATAGTTCTGTAAATACTACCAAGTTCTTTAAAAGTTCGAATTATTGAAAGATGTAATTAAAACATTGGGTCGGCGTACCCGGTTGCTGCTGCAAGCACAAATACCAAAATCAGGATGATTTGATTGTTTATTGTGTAGAATGGTGTTGAAATGATAACACTACTTTTATAGATGCTCGCGTGTACAATGTACATGTACGTGTCTGGCTAGGCTATATGCAGGAAGACCGTTTTAGCTGATTTTCGGCTAACTTTGACAGAATTTTTGTTAACGAGTTTGACAGAAAATTTGAAAGCATTGATTTTTTGGCAGATTTCTGGCAGAATTCTGCAAAAATGGTTATTAGACAGAAAACCAGCAAATTTGAAAAAAAAATGTATTTAAAAAAAAAATCTTCAATCCTTGCAAACAAACCCTTGCATAATGGGACAGGTTGGCTGGTCTAGGTGCTGAGGTTCACTGGGAAACGGACTTCGTCGTGGCCGGATCCACGTTTTGCCCGAAATTTACCAATGTAATTTCATCACAACATCTTTATGTGACTAGATTGTTTATTATGTAATGTGAATCTAAATTAAGGCAATACTACCAAATAGATCTGCATATGATTTTAAGTGTTTAGAGTGTATTTCGAGTAATTATGGGGAATTTGGCAGGTTTTTATTATCAATCTGACAGATTTTCGATGTGTATTTAGCAGAATATGGCTCTGACCTTACGGTCACCCTGGCTATATGCTAAGGGAGCTGAGATTGAGAGTGCACATGTGCAGCCTCGCATATATCAGCCAGACTAGGGTAATGTGTCTAGTCTGAGTCAAGGCTAGCGTCTACACATTATCGGCAATGACACAAAGGCCTGCAATGAACATGATGAATGTAATTTCAGTTAGAATAGGGTGGAAACTGTCGCGTGCATACACATCATTATGATCACGGGATGGGCTAGGCTAGGAGTAGAACTGTATGACTAGGACTAGGAGCTGAATTATCACATGTCGTGCGTATGGTAATTATTTGTGTATGTATGCTATTACACTTTTTTACAAGTTTACTAATGTAAGGACGTGACATTTGTGCCACTTGTTTGTGATCATAGAGTTAAAACGTTAGAATTTCAGCTTCATGTCACAAGACGTCTCATGATGGTGGTGGTTGGTGGCTCTCAACTTCAAGTTACATGGATATATGTGGCGATTGTGTAGTGTAACGTTAGGGCCAAGGGGAGGGGGAAACACGTACAGTTGATAGGCGAATAATATAGGGCCTATAATAGCCCCATAAATGTGGCCTATTTACTGGACTACCTCCGTAAACATAGGCCACACATCCACATGTACAAAAACGTGTCGCACTTTCCCAAATTTTGATTTTCACTTTTAGGCTTAGTTTGTAGGTTTTTTTGCTTTAGAAGCATACTCGCCCTCTTTATACAATTATAGGCTAGTCAGAAAGTGCTGCCTTTTTTAGATGTCTAATTTTTGTGAAATTTTTTGTTGAAATTTTGATACGCAAACGTGTGCAAAGGAATCTGGAAATTTCACGAAAAATAGACATCTGAAAAAAGCAGCACTTTCTGATTATCCTTTAAAGAGGGTGAGTATGCTTCTAAAGCAAAAAAATCCTACAAACTAAGCCTAAATGTGAAAATCAAAATTTGGCAAAGTGCGACACGTTTTTGTACATGTGGATGTGTGGCCTATGTTTACGGAGGTAGGCCTAGTCCAGTAAATAGGCCACATTTATGGGGCTAGGCCTATAAATGATGAAAAAAGTGGCGTCAGGATGCAATTGAAACATTCTTTCCATCATTAGAATTTAGAAAAGTCTGCTTCTGCATAATTAGGCCGAAAAGGTCGTTTTTTAATAAGGGAATAAATGTGTGCTCCGGAGGTTTTTATCACTCGTTTAATACCGCTTAGAGTCTGGGTGCTGATAATGGCGAGGGTAATTATCAGCACCCAGACTCTAAGCGGTATTAAAGGGAATATACATCATTTGCTTTTGCTGTAATTTTCAGAAATGGATGGAATTGGGATGTTGGAAATATATAGCAAATATAGTTACACTGACTTTTTTGAGGTTTTGGGTTCGAAAATGCTATAAAAACCAAGAAAAACAATCATTTTCCTGTAGTCTGGTTCCCTGACTCCATTTAAGAAGAAACAGAGCAGTTTACATACATTGGAGAATTGTAAGGTCAGGGAACCAATCTAGCTGGCTTGTACCCGTTCATAGGTGTGTAATCGATTGCAAACAAGTGTGATGGTCAACTGGGGCCAGTATTTGAAAAAAGCCAGTTTTTTTCCAACGCTGATCGGCCGATCAGCGTTGGAAATTGGTACAAAAATACCACTTTTCTTGAAAATGACAGTATACCAGGTGCCATGATTTTACAGGATGCTTTACACTGTCATTCACTAACAGTCCAGCAAGGTATTTCAAAATGATTTGGTAGTTTTATTTTTTGATGTTTGCAAATGTTGTATTTTCCCTTTAAACAGAGTGATAAATACCGACCGAGCACATATTTATTCCCATTCATAAATACCTTATCCGTACAAAAATATCAAATAATTCGTTCAAAATATCCCAATTTTGTTCAACAAGTTCACTTCATGTTTTTTTAAACATCCCTCTAGCAAAATAATGGAGTGTTCAGCTTTTTCAGAGAAACATTTGCTATTTTGTTTGGAAATAGAAGATTTTCTTGACTCTCCATAGACTTTGTACACAACCGCTGAAGTGGCATCTGGATACTACATTCTTTCCAAAGTGTCTAATTCTCATACTATAAAAAATGTGTGTCTTGAGTAAAAAAAAAAGTACAACCCCCCCCCCCCCCCCAAAGGAAGCAGGCAGGAAAAACAAAGCGGGCATGGACAAGAAACTTTTTTTTTTACGAAGTGGCTATCGTTACGGCAGCCGTTGTTTAGCGCCCTCTACGATACTTTTTTGATACGCACGCAGGTATATAATTATTTGTTTCCCCACGTTTTGGCGAGCAGTGCGACAGCTCAGTCGATAGAGGGTAGGATTTTGCAACGCGAGGTTGCGGGTTCGCATCTCGGTTTTGCACTCAAATCTTTTTCCTTTTCTAACCTGAGGCTTTGGAGGATTTTTTTCAAAACGGAAATAAGTCCAAATTTCATAACGTTCAAATTCACTTTTTTCCTTCTAATTTTGTATTTTCTTCTCATGTTTTTATAAAAGTTGCAGTCTACCGTAACGATAGAATATGCGTTATGGCTGCCGTAACGATAGCCACTGCATTTTTTAAAATTTGGCCTGATCAAAAATAGATGAAAGTTTTAGTAAGATCTGGATTTCAGATGAAATTGTTTTTCAAAGAATTGAAATGTAAAGTATGTAATTCATACTTGTAATTTTCCCCCTTTTTCAAAATGGCAATTTAGATACGTCAGGCGCCGGTAGACAGTCTGCAAGTACGTGGCGGTTAAGAAGTCTTTCTGTCTTTGCTGTTACTAAGTATCATTCCAGTAGATGATCATTGGATTGCTCTCACAATGGAAAAACTGACTCTCTTGCCTGCTGTCGTGCTGTTGATGTGCTCAGTGTCGGTCTCTATCAGTGCTGCACAGGGACGTAAGTATTACAAAAATGTAAACTTCAATATTTTTTTAATCTGCTGGTCAGTAATGAAACCTGTAAATCTACTAATGAGGCTCGTTGGTTCAGGATTAATGTTGTGCATATTACCGAAACTGAAACTAACACGAAACCGACTTTGGGTCAGGTCGAGTCGGTTTGTACATCATTTCAGTCGGGTCTGGTAGGTTTCAGTTTTGTGTTTGCAATTTTCAGGTCGGGTCGGTTAAGCCATTTTGAAAAAACCTGAAATAACCCCCCCCCCCCACCCAAAAACCTGAAACAGTTCGGACATTCACATGCTGCAAGATTTACTGCAGAGTCACTTTGCGTGGTACGACCAAAATAGTTTGTGGTCTATTGATGCACTGTCTGTAACATGTAGGACCACCAGTAGGTCACGTTGTGATTGCTGAATGGTATGATTCAGTTACTGAGAGATGACTTTTCATGTAAGGTGGGTAATAAGTTCAGGCACAAAAAGCCCACACATTTGCCCATGACAGATATTCGTTTTTTGAAGGGGTTGGTTCGGTTACGGGTTGGTTCGGGTCAGTTTTCCTTCATTTTTGTCGGGTTGGGTCGGGTCGGGTCGGTCGGTTTTGGTTTATATCTGTAACATTATGGGTCGGTTTGGCCTGGTCAACCCGACCCAATGCACAACACTATTCGGGATATATGGGCTATGCTTTATTTAACTCCTTAGCCTTGTTGAAACCAAGTAGATTTTTCACAAGTCAAGTCAAGTCGCAAGTTGATTTTTTTCGCAGCAAGCCAAGTCGCAAGTCAATTTTTCCCAACTCCCTCTGAACTTAAGCAGTAATAATAGGAACCAGTCGACAGTTTGTGTGCGCAATGGGGTTTATTAAGCGTGCATCACGTAGGGAGAATACAATGTTCAAATTTGCTCTCTAAACCACTTTACTTACATTTAAAATGGTCTGAAAATGTGATTAAATATCTACAAACTCAATTTAATGATGACTTTTTGAAGTCTGTTTGACATTCATTCAATGAAAAATTTCGGGAAAGAAAATGGGAAGAATTCTTGGCACGCCTCAATTTCTGTATCATGGAATGACAATCTTGGTAATTTTCCAGTTGTTTCAAGATGATGTCACTTCCTCCATGTCCTCCATGCTTCTCCACACTGATGAGTAATGAGCAGTACATAATGTGGTGCAGGTACATGTAACACAACTGTATAGCCAACGACATATCTCCATTGCACAAACCGGCACGCCACCACTCAAATAACACCTTGTACGTACCTCGACAATCCTCGCATACATACATTTACGTATGTGTGAAGCGTGCCTAGCCTGCTACATGTAGATGTACCAGAGTGCATCAGGGCCTTGGCTTTCCGTTCAACCAATTTTTGCCTGAGCCTAAAAGTTGTGTAAATTATAACAGGTCAACAATTTTAACATTGTGAGCAAGTCACAGTTTAGTCAAGTCAATTCAAGTCATAGGTAATTTTTTTTCCCAGTCAAGTCAAGTTTCAGGTAATTTTTTTGCAAATATCAAGTCAAGTCTCAAGTAAAAAAAAATATCGACTTGAGTCGGACCTGAGTCCACATCAGCGAATCGAGTCAACAACACTGCTCCTTAGTTCCTGTTCCTCCCCAAACCAGCCTGCCAGTTGCTCCCTGTACTGACTGGGCCAAACTGCCCAATCACTCTACAGCTTTATGGATTAATCAGGGAATGAAGACAACGTAATGCGGTGGTGCACTTGCTAATAATGGATCAAAAAGCATGACCAAGGACCAACAAACTGACACTCTCTTGTTGGATACATGAAGGATCCATCAGCCATTCTTCAGTTGGCATTATTGGCCTTTAACTTTATCCAATTGTACAAGTTTGATAGACCAGATATTACAACACATAAAGGTTATGTGTCGTGAAACTTGATGGTAACCTACATGGTTAAACAGCATGGTTAAAGATATAGTCCATCATTTGTAATTTAAGTATTTTGTTCGTTTGAAGCAACAAAAGTGTTCAAAATCTAATGAAGGATACTGAACAACTAACCTGATGAAGTTTCAGCTCAGCTTCAGCTGTATATTCCGAGAAAAACAGCATTCTAGGATCTCGGTTTCAAATCAAATGTTGCTGAATCATGTTTTGAATTGTTTAGAATTACAGCTATACGCGATGTCGCGCACTGATCCAACGAATTATAGCAACCGCGCGCGCCTGTGCGTCGTGCCAATGCTTGCGTGCGCTGCGCCGAATAACAAAACAAACTACTAATTTTAATTTTCCTACGATGCGTCTCCTAAGACGCACCCTTGGAAAGGCCTTCTTTCGTTGATTACTTCAAAATGATAGCTTGCCAGAAAGATTAATTTCACAGGGAGTTTAGTCCACTTACTATCTTTCAACCAAGTATGTTTTTCAACAATAATACGCCAGTTACTTTTTCGGATGGCTGCAAATGGTGGACTATAGCTTTAACTTACATGATGACCAATTATAGTCACGTGACCTTTTACAACTCTGAGGTTAAAAGCAATTTACATGTTTGTGTGTGAGATTAGATTTAGAATACATTGTGCTCATGTATTTGTTTTCTTGTGCACTAAATTGTTTTCACGCACAGCCCAAGAACATGATCTGCGGTTGGTAAACGGCCCAACCAGCATGGAAGGACGACTGGAAATCTTCTTCCAGGGCGAATGGAGACCAGTCAGCGATGAAGATGTTAAGATAGAGGAAGCGTCTGTGGTGTGTCGTCAACTTGGATTCCTCTATGCAGTGGAAGTCAAGTCCTTTGGGCCTGGTTCAGGAGTGGTAGTCATTAAAGACTTGAATTGTAACGGCAATGAGGCCAGTATTCTGGACTGTTATCATGATGTGCTGGGCAAGTCCCCATATTTGCGAGATAGAGTTGGGGTCAACTGCAGCAATGTTCTCACTACAGAGGTGCCAACAACTTACGCTCCTGGTGAGGTTTCAGAACAATCTCCCTTTTGATGGTGCATCAAATATCTCCTTAGGCTAATTATTTTGTGTATGCAATTCCCAATGCTTTAATTTGTTGCATAAAATGGAATGCAGATTAATGCACATGAGGTTGACAGCATGTGCACAAAATATCAAAGTTGATCACCCAGTGTGCTACAGTGTAGACATGAGCTTATTCTAGTGCAGTCAGTCCACATTGCCTTGATTTGTACTTACATGCAAACCTGTTAAATTGTTTTTCAATTAGCCGTATCTGGTGTTCACACACCACTGTCCTTCATTCTGTTGTTTGTAGATATTACAGCACTCCTAAACAATGGCAAATTCCGACTGGTCGATGGACCTGATCCCTACCAAGGCCGTGTGGAGGTATTCCGCGGCAAAGCCCTAGCCTGGATGCCTATCTGCAACGTGGACTGGGACTTCACCAGAGCTTCGTTTGTTTGTGAGAAGCTGGGCTTCCGACCCGCTACAGTAGCTGGGACAGGCAACTACGGCCCCGGGGCTGGACAGATAGCCAACTGCTCGGCTGCAGCATTTGATTATGATCGCATTGATATTGACCAGGACAGCTGTAGAATTGTCAATGAAAGTGATGCAGTCGGTGAATGCTCTCATGATACGGCAGTAGACGTGACCTGCAGTGGTACAGAGCCAGGTGAGATTATTTCTTGTACTGACCATCTTCGAGTGTTCAGGATGAAATGTGAAGAAAACTCAATAAAGTTCTGCCAAATTTGGCAGTTCACACAACTGTTTACACAGTGTCTGGCTAAGGTCAAATGAAGCATCAGAATTGAGGTCCAAGTGTTCAAGTTGGGACTCGGACTTTACAAATGTATCAAATCTGCTCAACATTTTGATGTTTAATAGCTCCAGAACATGGAACAAAACAGGACTGATAGAATTAACTAGACCATATTTTTGGCCAAAGCTACTTGAAGTTGAGCCTTCTAAACCTGTTTGAAATGACCTCACAGATACGTTACCACAATTCTACTACATGTAGAAAGTTTGTCTGTCCCATCCTAGCAATTGTCATGCTCAAATCAATGATTTATGTTTAATGTGAAAGCAATGGGGTGCCGAGAAAATGTAACAGCGCGAAAAGAATCGCTCAGAAAAAATAACGGTAATATGGTCGCCAAACCTTTAGGCTACTCCCCCCCCCCCCATGCCCTAAAAGTAGAAGGGACTGCATATAAATGGTTGAAAACCACAAATATTTACTTTTTGAACAATAACAGTGCCTACATTGTAGTTGGAAACAGGACGTGGGGGACCTCTCTTGTGGGGCCATTGACCAACAGAGACCACTAGATGTCGTCAGTGTTTTTTGTACCTTGCATGTCAAAAGTCTCCTGTGGTTAAAAAAAAATCACAAAAATCATCCTCGATTTTTTTTTTACTTAAAAAATGACTCAAAATGCAATTTACCCGTTATATAGAGCAAAAGTGCAATTCCTATCAGCTACTCATAATCACTGCAGTACATAATTGTACCTGTATATGGATTACACATACATGTAATAAGCCATTTGCGAGTAACCTATACCCGTTGGGATTTACATTTGAAAAACGTCTGGTACAATGACTTGCTCAGAATGCTTGGCACATTTTAACTTTGAATTCTCCAGACCAAAGACACTGTTGCTAATCACAAGATTCGGGGCAAGCTCTTGCATAGTTACGTAAGAGACGCTCAGCACCAATAGATCGTTCACAATGGGTGAGAATGGCACAAAGACACCAGACCATGCCGGAGCAGGGGGTTGCTAGCATAAGGCTTGCCCCGAATCACGTGATATAGTAACAGTCTCTTTGGTCGGGAGAATGCTAGGTTAAAACGTGCAAAGCATTGTATTAAGTCAGCGTTCCAGATTTTATTCAAATTTAACTCGCAAATGGCTTATTGTACATTGAAAAGTGTTGCATGCACATGGTCTGTACAATCATAGACTTGGCCAAGTCTGGGTTGCGCTCGGTCTGTGCCTAGAGTAAATCCACTAACAGCGCATATCGCATACGTCCTTACATAACGCGCGCCCTCATGCGTCGAATCCGGACCATCATGTAAAAACGTACATGTACTGTACATGTTATTTTCAAGTGATGCAGCAACCCAGACTTGGTCAATCTGCCAAGCGTATGCGCTGGTTTGTTCCACGTTTGTACACAGTCTATGGAAATTAATTCTCGATGTGATTGGCTTCTACCGATTTCGGTAGAAGCCAATCATATCACAGTATTTCAGGTAATGAGCGTTTAGATTCTTGAAACCGCGCGCAGATTGTTTTGATATTATTCCTAACACGCAATCAGCGCTGTCTGCGTATTCGCGCAGCCAAAGTTTCGCGGAGAACGCACTCGCGTCCCATGGTGAGGAGTAGAAACAGATACACGCACGCGTACGTTCGAATGCTTTGAAACGGCTCTGGGTACGCACAACACGAAGCGGTATCAATGGATCTCAACATCTTTTACAGGTTAACCCCAATAAAAATTCCCTTTTGTTTTGAATAACATTTGAATGTCGTATTCTTTATTAATTCAAACCAAGAGCAGATGATCTTAGCATTATCATCCCAATATAATATGTTTAAACTCTACAAATTGAGATTACGTTTTTAAACTTTTGCAGACTGTTATCCAGCCTTCCATACCTACTGAAAATAATAAACGAGTCTTCAAAAATGTGCTACTTTGATTGGTCAAGCGATGTTACTGCATATGCATAGAGATAGTGTTGCATATGCATCGATGAATACGTGCGCGTTCACGTGAGGGGGGGTGCTGATGGCAGATTGATCAAGTCGGAATTGCTAACTTTTGCACCACATGTATGCACATGCTCTGCAATACATGCACACACATGTAATACCCGTGCTGTACAATGTACGTACAGTGTGTGCGCATTGTTATATGGCACTGAAGTGGAACGCGCGCTGAAGTGTACCTTGTCGGGCATCTGGAAAGAAGTAAACGAAGTGATTTTTACTACTTTTTTTTTTTTTTTTTTTTTTTTTAAAGATACCGACTTAAAGCAATTCCGACTTGAGTCAAGTCTAGTACAATCACTGCTGGCTGCACAAAATAGCATAATTCATTGACAAAGATATGTTGTTTGCTTTGACTAAAAAAGGCACACAGGATTATCTCCGGTTCGTTGGTGGATCTCAACAATCTGAAGGTCGTGTGGAAATCTACAACGACAACGTGTGGAAGGGGCTGTGTTCAGACGACTGGACCATGGCAGAGGCCCAGGTTTCCTGTCGGCAACAGGGCTTGCCACCTCCTCAAGAGGTGGTCTCAGGTGGGACGTTTGGAAGCAGCAAGGCTGGCGATATCCTGCAGGTTTCGCTGGACTGTACCGGGCAGGAGTTTAGTCTGGCAACGTGCCCTCAGATGGCGAGGCAGACACTGTGTGCTAGTGGTGATGCTGCAGTTCGGTGTGGTGAACCAAGTGAAGGTAAAGTATGAACCAAATTCATTACTGAATCAGTATTTGAGAGTGAGTATTGTCTTTAAGCAAGGGTAAGTGGTCACCATATTACAGGTCGTTCATAAGATGGAATTTGCGTCGGGGTGATTTAAATCAATTTTAGGTTTTGCCCTTCATCAGCGTATAAACAATGTATACCCGGTGTGTTACCTCACAAGTGAAAGTTAGAAAAAATCACTCTGATGGGACTCGAACCCACGACCTTCAGCTTTCTAGTGCAGACGAGTGGTGAGATGTGTGCACTAGAAAGTAGGAGGTCATGGGTTCGAGTCCCATCAGAGAGATTTGTTGTAACTTTCACTTGGGAGGTAACACACTGAGTATACTGATACAGTGTTTACACGTCGGTGAAGGGCAATTCCTAACATTGAAATGAGAAATTGGATGACTGAAAAATATCCAAAATCAGTGTTCATGTCAGAGAGCAACAGTGGAACGTTTGTGTTTACCGCAAGGGCTGTGAAATGCCATATCTGATGGCCCATGTTCACCAGAATTTAAACAGTAAGTTAAAGGTATATCATTTGACATGTGTGCATTTTTGTCGTTTGAAGCAACACAAGTGCTCAAAATCTAAAGATGGGTGCTTAATAACTAACCTGATGAAATTCTACATGTTCTAGCTCATCAGTGAATGCTGTCTATTCCGAGAAAACAATATTCTAGGATCTCGATTTCAATTCAAAATTTTCCGAGTCATGTTCTGAATTGCGCCCAGAATCAGGGTCTGCGACACGTTCTCATTCAGTTGATTCAGTTGAATTACTAACATACATGTACATTTGCAAAAATCTGTCTTTAGACGTATCTTTGGAAATGACCTATCTTTTAGTGTTTTCTTCAAAATGACAGCATGCCAGAAAGTATAATGTCCCAGGGAGTTTAGTGCCATTACTAGCTTAAAACCAAGTAAGCTTTCCAACAATAAATTTGTCAGTGATGTACTAGCTACCTTTAACTTTGTTGATGTTTTTGTCACCCCCGGCGTATTTGACAAACTTTTACAATGCTATATGGGCTAAAGCAAAAAAGTGCTGTACTCGTATCAAAAGTTATCAACTCTGTCTGACTGTGTGAGATTCTGCCTTGAAGCATCGATGTTGATTGCTGACATCAAAGCTCAGTTGACTAGGGTTTGACGGTATCGATCCTCTTTCCCTGCAGCTCAAGAATTTGATCTACGGCTTGCCAATGGCGGAACCACTTGGGAAGGCCGAGTGGAGATGTTTTACCAAGGGGAGTGGGGAACCATTTGTCATCCACGCTGGGTGGTCTTTCATGAGGCGATGGTGGCATGCCGTCAGTTGGGATTCCAATACGCAGAGGGACTGACAAGAGAGTTTGGACCAGGAGTAGGGAATGTGATCTTGCATGGATTACTCTGCAATGGCAACGAAGAGCGACTCGTTGATTGTTATTATCGCCAGCTGGGAATTCGAGAATCACCTTGCGACCATAGTGAAGATTTTGGCATCATCTGCTCCAATATTGATCCGATGACACCTCCTTATCCCACACGAGGTAAGCATTCAATCAATGCAGGTACATGTAGATATGCTCTTTTGTATGGGTGCAAAAACAATATACAAATATAGCATGGTTTGAGGGTGGACAGTCGATATTAGCTCCCCGGGGTACGTATTGGAAGTTGACAAAACTATTCACCTCAGGAACTTGTTTGTCAACTTCCAGTACCGAGGGGGAGCTAAATCGACTATCCACCCTAGAAACCATGTTATATTTAATTTTACTATACCTCATACATATTCATGATCAAGAGCAGAACTCTCACTGGTCAATTCACCATCACGTGCCAGATGCTATTCTTGCTGTTTAACAAACGCGTGCGCGAGGATTTACGCACAGGGTAAATACGCATGCGTAGTAGACTGTCGCATGGGTTTACCCGTGCAACAGTCTACTACGCATGCGCTTTACAGAGCAATCGAGGAACTGTCGCACGGGTGCAGTACGCACGCGCGAACATCGCCCAAGAGAGATGCATGGTTGCACGGTTCGCGTAAATGTTAATTTCCAGAGCTCAAAGATGCCGCACTGGAGAAAATGTATGGACTGTGTAAAGATGTCTCCTGTTCAAAAAAAAGTTGTACACAAACAACTGTACATGTATTTGTAGTAACTGTATTATATTGCAAACGAACCGAACTAAAAATTGAAGTTGAGCAACAATATTCTTTTGGTGAGCTGTACAAGTTTCCCCGAATTTTGTTTTAGGTGCATATATATATAAAAGAAATTCGGCAACTGAATATATGTATGAAGTATAGTAAAACAAATATAACATGGTTTATTTCGGGTGGACAGTCGATATTAGCTCCCCTCGGTATTGGAAGTGGACAAACTAGTTCCCTCGGCTTCGCCTCGGGAACTAGTTTGTCAACTTCCGATACCTCGGGGAGCGAATATCGACTGTCCACCCGAAATAAACCATGTTATATTTGTATAATACCTCATACATATTCAGTCACCAAATTTTTCCGTTGCAGTTTATGCACCTGGTGGTCATAAAATGTTCAGAGAAACTTATCCAGCTCACCAGAAGTATATTATTGCTCAACCTCAGCAAAGTTCATCTCTTTTGCAATACAGTAACTCCTACATGTGCATGGAAGAGTTTGTAGCACATTGTGGAAAACCTTTTTTAAGAACAGGCGGCATCTTGTCCACAATATTCTACAGTCCAGCATAATTGAGCTTGGGAAAACGCTAATAAACAATTTAACGGGTGCAGCCATCTTTTTATGTGTAACTATAGGGCGATCTTCCGACCTACGTACTACACCTATGCAAGAGTTCCACGATTGCTTTGTAAAGCGCATGTGTAGTAGACTGTCCCACGGGTAACCCGTGTGACAGTCAAATACACCTGTGTATTTACCCCGTGCATGAATATTTAGCACACGCTTGGTAAACAGCAAAGATAGCATCTGGCTCGTGATGATGAATGAACCAGTCAGAATGCGGTTCTCGGTCATAAATATGTATGAGGTATAAAAAAAAGATATCATTCCGAACGTCATCTATGGCCACTTTGTGAGCGCAACAGGGGTAGACGCATATATATGAACATCTTCACCCCTTAAAAATTCATTAAAAGTCCATTTCTCCGTGAAAAGAATCTTTAAGAGATGTTTCACGGACCTTTACATGGGGCTTATATAGGACTAATCCTGTAAGGGTATTTTCACGTTTTTTTAATGACCCTGGCCACTGAGGATTATCATTGGTTATACATAACGGTACACTGGCCGGGTCTGTCTCCAGGGGTAAACAAAGGACCCTCTTAAGGGTGTTTTCACGGACTCCTAATCTGGCTTAATACATGTATGTTGAAAAATCCGTGAAAATTTAGTTAACAGTAATTTCAAGGGAAAATGGCTCTTTAATGAATTTTGAGGGATGAAGATGTTCATATGTATGCCCACTGGTCCATGCGTGTATGGTGTAAAATTATGCATAACTTATTTTATTCTAATATGTGCATGCATGCTCAGAGGCTTTGAAACCTGAGTGTCGGGGTAATGCAGGAGTGGTCTCCCCCAACTCCTCTCTGCAACGGTTGAGGGGGGTACTTGTGCACAGAGATTACCGGTAGCTTCATTACACCATCCAGGCTTTGACTGTAGCAGTAGCCCACTAGCCAAATGCTATAAATGTAGGTACAACAGCGGCCTAGTCAAACTATTCCTTAAGTAACCCAGCTGGCGAGTCAAAAGTTATTTGGACAAGACAAAGATGAAAGGACAGGATGAAATAAATCATTAAATTCAGAAAGCATGCAAATATCTAGCCTTGACCAATGCTGTCAAGCCAAGCTTTTTCCCTGAACTGTCCGGCAGCCGTTGCTGTCAAGCCAAGCTTTCAGTTCCCTGAACTGTCCGGCAGCCGTTTTACCCTACTTGTCACGGCAACGTACGCCGCTCGCAGCCCCCGGCCCCTGGCGAGCTAGCTCCGCTTGCGAATTGCCTGTACTGCGCGCGCGATGTGCTCCTAACACAAATCCGCACACGGACGTACGTACACGTACATGTACATGTACAGAACCTGTACATGTACATGTACATGTACAGTATACAGTAACACTGCCGTGGGAGTCACACGGAAGACAGCCTTGATGCAACCGTTTCTGCTCATTATGATAATAAGTATGCGCTATGGTAAATAGTCTTCTCTCATTGGATAATGGCTGACGATAAAATAAATATTCATCACTACTGCGTGAAGTCGAAGGGTCAATACACTTTGTACACGTGCGTGTGGTTTGTGTTGTTTGCGCAGTAAAAGCTAGCTCAGTAGCTGTCAAACTTGTACATTTAGTTGCAGGTCGTGTCACATCTGCAGTATATTTATGTTCGATGGCGTTTCAATTAATTTGGATTACAATATTAGTCCAACTGATCTTTCATTAAGGCGGTGAGGGGTGAAATTACGAGGGCTATGCAAAAACTACTCTCGTCCACGTTCGCTCCTCCTTGTCGTGCTTGTTGCAGGCCGAGCTGCCGAAGAAATTCACAGCAGTACGGCGCTGCTTGAAAAATCGCTGATTTACCGAACCCGGTCGGCAAATTGACGACGACATCGTGTCCTTGAAGAAAGTATTGAAGTGCAGTCCGTTGTTCAGGACGAAAATCATCAATTTGTAGCTTATCGGCCGCAGAATTGAGACATCCATTTAGGCTTACTTCTGAAACCTCCATTTTGTTCGGTTACTGCAGCACGACAATGTGTACACACGTACACATGTATATGTACATGTACAAGTACATAATACAACGCATCACACACACATCGTTCGTTCAACACGCGTGTTTGGGTCAAAGTGCACGGGCTGTGATTGGCTATCGTGTAAAATATGTGCATCAGAAATTTTCGGCCGATATTGGCCGAAAACGTAAAGAAACACATAAGAAATTGGCGACGGTTGCGTCAAGGCTGTCTTTCGCCTCGACTGCGACTGCGTATTGGTTACTGCATGGGGTGCACGTAGTACGTACGTACGTAGGTACTGTATACGTACCGGCAAAGCGCGCGGCGTACGTGTGCCGTGACAAGTACAGTACAGGCAAGCGGAGCTAGCCAGGGGGCTGCTAGCGGCGTACGTTGCCGTGACAAGTAGGTTCAAACGGCTGCCGGACAGTTCAGGGAAAAAGCTTGGCTTGACAGCATTGGTCAAGGCTAGCAAATATCAAGTTTATTAACTGAAAAAATTGCCTCAGTATACGCATTTTACATGTATGCACATTGTTGTTTATGAGACACTCTATTAAAAACAAAACTTGCGGGCTAGTGAAAATGCCCACTACACGGGCTGGTTAAAGGGAATATACAACATTTGCAAACATCGAAAAATAAAACTACCAAGTTTTAACAAAAAACCTTACTAGGATGTTGGTAAATGACAGTCTAAAGCATCCTGTAAAATTATGGCACCTGATGTCGAGTCATTTTCAAGAAAATGGTATTTTTGTATACATTTCCAACGGTGGTCGGCCGGCCACCGTTGGAAAAACCTAACTATTTTTCAACTACTGCTTCGAATTTACAAAAAAAATTCTGTCCAAATTTTGTTTGTTATTGGTTACATGTTCATGAACGGGTGTAGGCCAGCTAGACTGGTTCCCTTACCTTTCAATTTTCCGACATCTATAAATTGATCCATTTTATCTTTAGTGGAGTCAGGAAACCAGACTACTTAAACAGTTTTGTTTTTCTTGGTTTTTCAATCATTTTCGAACACAAAACTTCAAACATGTCAGTTAAACAATATTTGATCTATTATACTAACCCCTCAAATAGTTCATTTCTGAAAATTACAGCAAAAGCCAATGATGTACATTCCCTTTAAGAGTTTGTTTCAGTAGCCCCGCTGGTAAGTGAAAAAATAGAGTTAAGGTCGAACCCTGCCATCTAAAATGACACACTATGAATTTATTTGTCAAACCAGATGGCGCACTACGACTTGTTGGCGGTCCGGACCCTTCCCAAGGTCGCGTGGAGGTCTACATCGCCGAAGAGGGAGCGTGGGCCAGAATCTGCAGTGAAAACTGGGATTTCAGCAGAGCAGAATCTGTGTGTCAGCAACTCAAATATCGTCCCGCCACGTCAACTGGTACAGGCCGCTATGGTGCAGGGACCGGTTCAATTGTAACTTGCCCAATCACCGGTATTTCATACACCTCATTAGACACGGAGAATTGCCAACTGACAGACACCTGCACTCAAGATATGGATGTCTTCGTGGTCTGTAGTGGCAAAGAACAAGGTGAGGAAAATGACATGTGCTAGCACTGGGGATGTCATAGGGCTAACACATGCACACACAGTCATCGGATGGGTAATTGATATTTATGTACATTAGTGTACAAATATTGAATACTCTGAGTGGTGTAGTAAAACTAGCCTCCCGAGGTGATCCATGGACCATTCTATTTTCCCGAGGCGAAGCCGAGGGAAAATAGAATGGTCCATGGATCACCGAGGGAGGCTAGTTTTACTTCACCACGAGATAAAGCATTCAATATTTGTTTTATAACACTTTTATAACACAGATTCTGCTTGATTTTAATATTTTAAATTATTTAAATCTGAACCCAGTTGAAATAGTTTGAACTCATTTTTAATTGTTAACTTGTGAAATTAGTCACTTGTTTGATTTTGACTGAAAGGACTACTTGGCATAGAATATGTGTGTGTATAGGAGGGTTATCCCTCCTGCTATCTGAACAGTCACAGACAGTCAAAAAAAAATCAATCCTCATCCCCTGCCATGCCTTTACTCACAGGCTAGTCACCAACAGTCGGATCATATTTCAAGCAAGCACTGTGACCAGTCAAATTCAGTCAACAGACAAAACAAGTGGTGGGCACAGCTGGCTCATCAATCACCTTCAGTCAAAGCATAACTGTGCCAAGTTACATAAACAGCCACAGTCATGTTGTCATTCCTGCTTTAAGTTGGCTGGGAGCTATTAATTGACCTAAGCAGCTCCACTATTAACTGTTCAAAAGGTTCAGCCACGTGATTGATTTTGACTGAAAGGACAACTTGGCAAAGAATGTATGTTTACATGGAAGGGTTGATGATACTTGAGTAGCAAAAACTTCAGCTGACACACAGTGTACGGTTTGCATTGGAGACTTTCCCCAAACAATTTGTTGTGACCCATATTCTACCTGTTCTTTTGGTAATTGCTTTTCACCCATACTGGAATTTGTATCCTTGTGGAGTCATTTCTTTGTTCTCGAGTACTAAAAAAATTGAGTTTGAAAATCTAGTTTGAAAATGCTCCTAGTTTAACCAGAACTGATTTCCTGGGCTGAAATTTCAGACTTAATAATATCCCTTACATAAAATACTTCAATTTGCGACAGATCAACACTTATTGGAAATTCCTAGTTTTTTTTAGTAAAATCCATATACAGTAAACTCCATAAATTTGTGACGACTTACCTGAATGCCGATATCTGCTGTAAGTCGTCATTTTGCATACATGAATGGTCTTTTGCACACATGATTCATTGCACTATTTGGCTTCGATTTACCCTGGATAATTATCTCCTTAATGCTTTAGTTGAATCCAGCAAATTAATCCTCGAATTGTATCATAACGTTTGGGGTATTGATAGTGGAGACCACGATACATATGTACGTGCACAGTAACGAATTAAATGCGTGCGTGGTCCATATATACTACGCACGCATTGACTGCAGCAGTAGTCATTCAATAAGAGGACCCTCTCCAAAATGGACAGAGCGCATGCGTACAGCCTAGAGGGGGTGCTGGTATTGATATGCTCACGATGCATATGCGATGTACATGTATGCAGTAGGACACCCTTTTTCGACACCGATGCATGCAGCGGATCACGGGCCGTGCGAAACCACTTTTCACTCGACACTTTGCCAACCCCAGAACAGGAAGTCGATGTCAGTGCGTGATTTGTTGAATGCGAACTTACACAAAGGATTTTGTAATGCTTTTTATGGAAAGGGGACCGAGAGTAACGGGACGACTTGAGCGAAATAGCGACTTATAAAAGCCGACTTATAAATACAAAATTCAGTGGAAATGCATTACGGACAATCGGGACTTTAGTCAGACGGCCGACTTGAGCGATTTGACGAGTTGTACGATGTCGGTTTAGCCGGAGTTTACTGTATCTATTTCGTGATAACCTTGTGGAGTCGTATTTGCATATAGAAATTGCCCTGTGGAGACGTATACAATCTTTTGTTCCTTATTATACCCATGTCTCCACAGGGTACCGTGTACCAGATCACATTAATAAACATTTTTGTTTGTAGATTTGTGAATTGTCAAATAACATACAATATTCATTTACTAGTTCCATACATGGAATTGCTTTTATTGCATTGGATCTTTTTTTCTCTCTCTTTATTTAATTAGCTTATTGCAGAGCATGATATAGTGCATTATGGATAATGTCCATTTTCCCCCTTTTCTGGTCATCTCTGTTATTAGGTATCAAGGGCGAGATTAGACTTGTCAATGGCTCTGAGCCCACCGAAGGACGCGTTGAAATCTACGACCAGAACGCCTGGAAAACGTTGTGTGCCGATGACTTTACATATGTCGCGCAGCAGATTTCATGTCGCCAGCTAAATGTGCCTTTCCCTCCTAAGGAGGTCCCAGGGGGAATGTTTGGCGAGAGTCAGGTCTACGATGTTTTAGATGATGTCCTCAACTGTACACTCCGGACTACGCAGCTGAAATTCTGTGATCGGGCTCCCAGACAAACCCCTTGTGTGGGTGGTCATGCTGCGGTTCAGTGTGGCATTTGGAAGAATGGTGAGCCGATACCTAACAACAGTTTATAGTTGACTTATATCGCATCATTTTGTTTTTTTTGTTGGCTGTTTTGGCAACCGGCCGAAACAACCTGTGTTTTTGTATTTTGCCCATAGCACTTCTAGATGTTTTATTGTTACCGGCACTGGTACTAAAATCAGTTCGATTGCCTTTACTCGGCACACTCTTAGACCAGTATCTGAAGATGTGTGCCGAACATTGACGTCATCATGACGTCATCACGTTATCGACCCCTGACGTCACATTAAATGTGCATATTTTTAAAGCCTATATCTACAGAACTACAGGTCCAATTGGGTTGAAACTTGGTATGTACCTAAACCTGGATGAGTTAAAGATGAAAATTTAAGTGATGTCACGATGACGTCATCACGTGACATGTGACGTCATATTAAAAATGCATATTTTGAAGGCCGATATCTACAGAACTACAATTCTGATTGGGTTGAAACTTGGTATGTACCTAAACCGGGATGTGTTATAGATGAAATTCAAGTGACGTCACGATGTCGTCATCACGTGACATGTGACGTCATATTAAAAGTGCATATTTTGAAGGCCGATATCTACAGAACTACAATTCTGATCGGGTTGAAACTTGGTATGTACCTAAACCGGGATGTGTTATAGATGAAAATTCAAGTGACGTCACGATGTCGTCATCATGTGACATGTGCCATAATATTAAAAGTGCATATTTTGAAGGCCGATATCTACAGAACTACAATTCTGATTGGGTTGAAACTTGGTATGTACCTAAGCCGGGATGTGCTATAGATGAAAATTCAAGTGACGTCACGATGACGTCATCAGGTGACATGTGACATCACATTGGAAGTACATATTTTGTAGGCCTATATCTACAGAACAACACGTTCCATTGGGTTGAAAGTTGGTATTATGTTCACATATGTTTGCAGCCGACGAGTGGGATTTGCGACTGAGCGGTGGCCTTGAGGAGAGAGAAGGACGCGTTGAGATCTTCCACAATGGCCAGTGGGGCCAGGTGTGTGACGATCTGTGGGATGATCAGGATGCTAATGTGGTTTGCCATCATCTGGGCTATCGGAACCTGTATTCGCGCTACACCAATGCTCGCTACCTGTCTCGAAATGGCGCTCTGGTGTGGCTGAAGAGCTTGAGGTGCCAGGGGAACGAGGAACACATCTCTGAGTGTGGTGCTGTGCTCGGGGAACCAGTCGATTGCACCGGTTCCTTTGCAGAGGTCATGTGTGAGGACCGCCCTTTCGCCAGTAGTAAGCTCCCTTTTAAAAAATTCACCAGATTCATCCTTACAGGTCAACTTGGTTGTTTAACCCTTTTGTTTAACCAAATTTGTTGGCGGAACCATCTTTGCAGAACGATGTAAAATTTGCTGGTATTTTTGCTTTTCATATTTCATGTTAATGTTTGTCCTATTTCTTGCTTCAAAATTTTTTTTTTAAACCAGTACTATTACAACTTTGATTCTGTAATGTGTAATTCAATGTAAGGTCAGTCTTGTAATTGTTAATGTAGAGCTTATACTGCTGTAATTCAAAAGAAAACGACGCCAATACCTTTTTTTTTTACAATTGCAAAACAAAAAGTTCGACAAAAAAATTGGGCAGCTTGTATAACATTCTGACAGAGCAAGTTATCGGCAATCTGAAACTCTTCAGCTCACTGTCACTGTCGGTTCCTTCTTTATTATCATCTCAGATTATGAAGCACGCCTCGTTGATGGACCACACCCCAACCAGGGTCGCTTGGAACTACTGTACGAAGGTGCTTGGTGGACTGTCTGTGATGATGACTGGGACATGAAGGATGCAGAAGTAGCTTGTAGGCAGCTGGGCTTTGCCTCAGCCGTGGCGGCTTTGGATGGTGATGAAACGGCTAGTCTGTATGGGTCAGGAGAGGGAGGGATCCTCTTGTACGAGTTGGGCTGTGACGGCACAGAGGAGAGCATCATCAAGTGTCCACTCTCATACCCATTTGCTGGTTTATGTCGACACGATGAAGATGTCGGTGTTGTCTGCTTCAGCGAGGACTACCCAAGTGATGACCCACGGCCAGAGCCTGAGGATCCTGGTAAGAATTCAAACACCCAGGCTTAATTTCAGACTTCAAGCTTTTATCAAATAAAGTACATGTATATGCAAGTTAATGAAATCTACATATAACTAGCTGTGGCCGACTTGATGATGATTTCTGTAATGACAGGAGGTTCTGGTAGAGAATTATTAGCACGGACCGGGTCAGAGTTTGCCAAAACTTAGGTGAACAAAAGCACAAAAATACTTTTCCCACTTCAACAGTGCATAGTGACCCTTGCAGTAAACAGTTTGAAGCATACCACAAACTCGGAATCCTCAGCAAAGTCAACAGCACCATGTACTATTCAACCAGAGGCTTGGTCTAAAATTAAAGCTCACACTGTGGCGCAATTTAGTAACCACACAGACTTTATTAAAAGTCGGCCATATTCGAGGTAAACTATTACGTTTGGAAACTTGCAATGAAAGAAATGAAAGCAATGAAAGAAAAGTTCATTACAAATTAACACCAGTCTGCTCAGATTAATAATTTTAAAATTTCTGATAAAACACACCCTTATGCTGTACATGTATGTAAGCCACATTAAACACAACATTGAAAGTGAGGCTATTATGGCAAGCACTCCAATCATAAAATAGTCTTGCAACATCCCATTTAACAGTTTACAACTTATAAAATAGATTCAGGGAACATGATTGAGAATGGCTTCCTCATGAATAACGACTGTACAATGTACATTTAGTATAGTATTATCATATGGACCTTTATGAACAACCCCAACAGCATCTTCCAAGATTTATGTTTTGTGGTTGGGGTTTTTGAATGAATACCCGGGTACCCATATTTTTTTTCAGTCGGGTTCCCGGTTCCTGTACTACGTACCTGTACATGCCCACCCCTAGTACATGTAGATGATTCGCCTTCAAATCTGCGGTGATTTGTAAAGATTGTGTCCACTTTCAAGTCTGAACTTCCTCCTGGATTTGCTGTTTCAAGAAAAGAGTCAATCTGAAGCAAGGTCATCAAACGGTGGTTGTCTTGTCATCTGTAGGAGGTGGTGCACAATAATCAGTTCCCTACTCAAAGAGTATTATAAGAGTCAATCTTTCTGCCGTCTTGGAATCCCCAACCCCAAAAAATTCATTCGTTTCTCCAACATTGTTTTCCTGCCACAGGGGACGGCCTATCAAGCGCCCAGATCCGCAACATCATCCTTTACGTCCTGATAGGCTGCTCGTTGCTGTTGACCGTTTGCGGGTGTGTCTACAAACTGCACAAGATAAAGTCCGAGCCCCAGGTTGTGGTTATGGGCCCAAATGAGGGATTCACAGGGGCAGGAACCGGCCAGTACAGTGCTGTTAGTCAGGTACATGCATGCAAACAATTCTTTCTCAAGTATTTGTGACCATGATGTTCTGTATTGTCAGAACCACTGATGAATTAGGATGTACAAGGCCCAATTTCACGGACTCCTAAGCATGGACGGCTGACTGTACACATTGTATTTTGCAGTATTGACGCACTGATGCGGTAGTATTATCATGCAGACCTATGAACAGCAACTTATGTGGTTGGGTGTCATTAACGGATATCCGGGTACTCGTGTTTTTTTTGCTATCATGTACTCGATTCCTGTACTACCTGTGTAATTGCACACCCCTAATCAATTGGAACCCCCACCCCCCCCCAAAAAAAATACATTCATTGGCATACACAATCAGGTTAATAATTTTTCCCCCTCATTATGTTAAAGGGAATGTACAACGTTTGCTTTTCCCTCAATTTTCATAAATGTCGATTTGGAAGATTGGTATGTTATAGCAAATATTGTTGACTGACTTGTTTCACGTTTTGGGCTTGTAGATGCTGGAAAAACCAAGAAAACCAATCATGCTCTTGTAGTCTGGTTTCCTGACCCCACTTAAGATGAAACGGAGCAATTTATAGACTTTGGGGAAATGTAAGGTCAGAGAATCAGTCAAGCAGGCTTGTACCCCTTCACAGGCGTGTAATCAATTGCAAAGAAAATGCGGAATAACTAAATATGAAAATTAAGGAGCATTTTTTGAAAAAAAGCCAGTTTTTTTCCAATGCTGGTCGGCCAACCAGCGTTGGAAAAATACAATTTTTCTTGAGAATGTAAGCACACCAGGAGCCATGATTTTACAGGATGCTTCAGACTGTCATTTCCTAACATTCCAGTAGGGTATTTCGTGATAATTTGATCATTTCGTTTTTTGATGTTTGCAAATGTTGTATCTTTCCTTTAAAGGGAAAGTACATCATTGGCTTTTGCTGTAATTTTCAGAAATGAACTATTTGAGGGGTTAGTATAATAGATCAAATATTGTTACACTGACATTTTTGAAGTTTTGTGTTCGAAAAGGTTGGAAAAACCAAGAACAACAAAAAGTTCAAGTGGTCTGGTTCCCTGACTCCACAAAAGATAAAATGGATCAATTTATAGATGATGGAAAATTGTAAGGCAAGGGAACCAGTCTGGCTGGCCTGCACCCATTCATGAACATGTAACCAAAAGCAAACAAAATTTGGACTGAAAAAAACGGTAAATTTTGAGCAGAAGTTGAAAAATAGTTAGGTTTATCCAACGCTGGTCGGCCGACCACCGTTGGAAATGTATACAAAAATACCATTTTCTTGAAACTGACTTCACACCAGGCGCCATAAGTTTACAAGATGCTTGAGACTGTCATTTACCAACATCCTAGTAAGGTATTTCGTAAAAACTTGGTAGTTTTATTTTTTGATGTTTGCAAATGTTGTATATTCCCTTTAAGGATGCCCCACCGGCTTATGAAGACGTTACCAAGGACCCAGGCAAGTTGGATACAACAGGGGGTACCGAGTCCGCAGAGCCTTCTGCCCCACCACCTACATATGCCCAGACAAGCACCGTATGAGGACCCTTTGCCTTAGATTGAAACTTTTCTTGAAACGGCAAATCCAGGTTTGTTCATCTGAGGACAGAAAATGACAAGGAAAGTGTCAAATAACGAACGCAATGCAATGCATTTATTGCATGCAATCATGCACAGTAATCATGCGGGCGGAGTGCAAAAAGTGGCATCTGCCACATGCATATTGATGCCCCTGTTTATCCGTTGGTGTTTTTTTTTTTATGAAGAGCATGCACTGCCTGTTGAAATTCATGTCTATGCACAAATAGATATTCTCATCAGGGCATTGTTTTTATGTAGGACAGGACGCTGTATTATCGCGGTGCTTATCATGTTTCTCTGTTGGAACAGAGATTGATCACTTACCTTCCCGTATTGTCTTATCTTTTGTGCTGTTTATTAAGTCTGTAACTTTTCACATTGATATAAGAAGTTCCGGCAGAGGTTCAATTTATTCCCTCTATGATGCCTGCGAAAATACACGTAGGTATGCGAGCAGTACGAGAGCGAAGTTGGACTTCCTTTTACTTCGGTAGGCAGGCGATGGTTTCTACGATGGCCTGAACAATTTTTATTCATAATTACTGTTGGACCTGCACATACCCTGAAAAAGGTCTGCAAATTGCCTAATAAAGTCCAACTTGATTTAGGTGTGAACAATGATTTCTTAACAACCCGGCCCAGGAAAGTAAAAATGATTATTGGGACAAGTCTACTGATTGACGATTGGGGCCTGGCACACGTCATACAGTGTGCCCTTTTTAAAAAAAAAATTTATGTGTGCTACCCTAATTTGCATTCCATACAAATTTTTAAGATTTTGCGGTGGAAATTGTGATCTTCGACATTAACTTTTGCAGCAGTGAAATGGGAACCAGACTAAGAAACCTCCATGGACAGAGCAGCATTAGAGAAAAATGTTCAAAGATAGACAATGCCTTTTGGCAGACATGGTTTTTATGTGTGCTACCCTAATTTGCATTCCATACACATTTTTAAGATTTTGCGGTGGAAATTGTGATCTTCGACATTAACTTTTGCAGCAGTGAAATGGGAACCAGACAAAGAAACCTCCACGGACAGAGTATCATTAGAGAAAAATGTTCAAAGATAGACAATGCCTTTTGGCAGACATGGTGAGGGGAAATTTGTAAAAAAAAGTACAAAATTATCTTTAAATCATTCAAATTTACCTAAAAGACGCGTAATCTTTTGTTTATACAACTGGACAGAATATCCTTAGTTACTGTAGAACTGCATGAAAACTGTCGCTAGAGATTGTACCGGCAACACAAAAGAGAAATTTTCTGATGCCGCGATAGAACAGAGTCCGACCAGGTAGAGTGTAGATGTATCTGTAGATATATGCGTATACATGCGTAAGGTACCAAAATATATAATTTAATATTTGTAAGGCAAATGTTACGCACAGTTTTACTTACAGGTAAACATCTTTTACCTGTATCGACAGTGTGTCCAGTTCCACAAAAAAGGGTATTTTGTCGCCAAAAAAAGGAGAAATTTGAGTTACATGGTTGGAAAGCCCACGTTCACGTAAGCTGTCATACTGGTAGATACTTCAGTCATTGAAATCACCATTTCTGTGAATGAACACTGAAACCTGAGGTAGTAAGGATGTCATTCATGACAAATGAAAATCATATTTTGACGAAATGTTCACCTCTCAACGTTGAGCAAGCCATTACACAATAATGCACAGCGCAACTTACTACCCTTTTTTTGTGAAGCAGGTCACGACTTTGGTGTCTGTGTCTTATCTAATGTAATGTAATGTACTTTATGGAAATTTCGTGTTTTTTAGGTAGGAATGTACGATTCTGTTGTTAATTTCCTCTCCCTTTTATAGATTTTTAAAAATTTGTGAAGTGCTTTGAGACATTTTGTGTAAAGTGCTATATAAGTGTCATTATTATTATTATTATTATTATTAATGGTGGTTAAGCGGATTATGTGCATTGCAGAAGTAGGCGGGGAGGGTGCATGCTGAAATCTTACCCTACGGCCTTATGCTTCTTAAATACATTGTTGACCCGAATCATAATGTTTCACGCCTTGCTTACATGAAAGGTTTTTTTGGGGGGAGTTTGGGTGGCTCTTTTAATCGGCCCCAACCGGTTCCCATAGCAAAGTGGGCATGTAAACAAAGTGGGACATCACTATGATATCAGGCCTATTTGACCTATCGCCGTTTGCAAGTAAGCCACGCCCCTTAGACAACCCTATGGAGTTTTTGTACACTAAGTTTTGTTTGTCTCAGATTTTGCGCATTCCTCGTCCATTTGTAAATCATGTATTGGACAAAATTTCACAAGCTGCGCTGACGCGATTCTAATGCGATTCTAACGCGATACTACTGCAATAGGTCAATTAAATTGGCAGCTGACAGCACCCATTTAAAAAAAAAAACATAAATAGTAAGGCCAAAAAAAAAAAAATATTCGGTCTCTGGTCAGACCAAAGTTCCGGAATTGACGGCGGCCACGCGGCTTTTTTTTTTTTTTTTTTCCTTTTTTTTTTTTTCTTCAAGCTTGGATTGTACAGACAAGGTGGGTACTATTTTGCTTTTTTGGTGTCCTCATGTACATTGGTGTCCTCCATAATTTGCCTTGGTGCTTTCGATCATTTGCCTTGGTGCAATTTCCCATTCCTTGGTGCTCTTTGGTAAAAAAAATTGAGGAGGTGCGGAAATAGAGGGCGCTGTTGGAGCTACCGCGGAACATTTTGGGGAAAAAAAATATCGACGCGCATGCTTAAAATCGACGCGCGCGCTGACCAGAGACCGACTTATTTTTTTGTTTGGCCTAACACAGGGAAGCTAGCACATTCATATTTTGGTTATACAGGGTGAATAAAAAAAAAGGAAACCCAAATGGCGCCCCCTAGTTTTAAAGAAGTTCTGCATGTACCGCATTCAAGATCTAGGATTTGATGTGAAAGCCCGAGTAATTAGCTTTCTTTTTTTGTACAAGAATCATTCAAATTGCTCAGGTACTTTATTTTTCCAGTTATGGACTATTAAACACAAACACAGTTTATAGAAGTTTGTCCACAGATCGCAATAAAGGTACATGTGATATTTCAGCGAGAGGAGGAGGTTTTTCAAAGACAAATATGAACGTCAGTTCAACTTAAAAAACAAATGGTTCCAATGGAAAGGGATGATTTTCTGTTCATAAAAATATTCAAAACTTAACTGGCCAATAAAATAGTTCCAACTTGACAAACAGTGTAGCTCTAGTTATATTTGCAGTGTTATTTGTTTGAAACTGGGAATGGTAAATATAAAGACTAAAGAACCCAAATTCATCTTTATGATCGGTAGATGGCAAGTTTGGGGTGATTGTCGAGGATATTTTATTGGTCTAGTTTTTATGAGGACAAACTTGCAGAGGGTAAAGCATAAATAGCTTTTTTTATTAAAACGAAAATACACTGCAGTTGGCGTAAAGCATCGCTAGTTTAAATTAAAGCCGGTCCCATTCCTATAAGGTTGGGGATGTGTGTGTTACCGCAGCATGAACATTTTATTTGTTAATGTTGAGTACAGAATTTAAGTAACGTCAATGAAACTTAACAATGAAAAAAAAACACCTTTAGGGGAAAGGTATTATGAACATTTGCCCCTATTGAAATATCGAATTAAAAAGTGCGTACAATTCATGGCAAGCATAAACAACCTTGCCAAGCATGAATAGTTTATTTAATAAATCCTCCAAGTTTAATATGATTTTGCACACCCCCCTGAGTTAGGGTTAAAATGAAAATGAACTGGAATTGGGGTAAAGCATGACTAGTTTAAACAACTTTGCCACCATTGTCATGGCCGAGGTTATTGCTTTTGGGTCAAGCATCCATCATATGGCGTTCAAATTCCATAACTGGAAAAGTACAGGAGTGATTTGAATGATTATTGTACTATACAAAATAATACTACATTGTGATTGGGCTTTCAAACCGTAGATCTGGAAAGTGCTACATGCAGATCTAGAACAATTGGGGTCCCACTTGGGTTAAGCATGCATTTATGTGTACAGTGAATGGGACTGGCACTCCTATACTAATACAAAATTCTGATATAACAAACATTTTGGCTGGATCCGGCAGAGCTTGTATAAACGAGAGTGAACTGGGTCAGACGGTTAACAGTGACACAAAAATTGGACCTCGAATTTATGACCCTCAGGTATAAAGTGCACAGCTTATGCAAAAGTTTGTGCCGCACAAAATCCCCATTTTTAGCAGCAAACTTTAGTCTTCCTCAGTGGAAAATAACTCATACCTTCTCTGCTTGTTTCTGATCTGTCCATAAAGGGTCAAAAAAGCTGTCCGTATTATATCTCCAAGGCTCAATTTAGAGATCACACCACGCCGTTATTTCGCAAATTTAATCTTCTCACTCTTGCCAAAATCAACTGCCTCCAACAAAATATTTTCATGTTCAAATTCTTCAATAATGTACTTCCTCCAACTCTGCATAATCTTTTTCAGTTAAACAGATCTGTTCACAGTCATAATACCCGGTCTTCTTCTAAAGTTCACATTCCACTGGTTAAAACCACTCTCTCTCAACATTTTATTACGTTCTCAGGCCCTAAAAACTGGAAAAGTCTTCCCTTACCACAGTTACCACTTTCTGAATGTAAATCACTCGCAGTCTTTTCAAACACAAACTGAAGTCTTTGTTAATCCACCAGTCACCTCAGTAAGCCCCACTTACTTTACTTTTCTGATCTTGGGTTTTTTTTTTATTTTATTGAATCATATCTTTTCTTATTTTAGTCGTCGTACACGTATACACACTGTTTGTGTTCTTGTTATAGGTGTTGTTATGTTTATTCGTTTATTGTGAAGCTGTTACTTTGTTTTGTTTTTTGTAAACAGGCTGTTCCTTGACAAGCCCCGCTTTTTTGGAACGTGCCTCCACATCTGTTTATATTTATTGTACTTTTCTTTATGATTATGTGGAAATAAACGTTACTTTGAAAAAAAAAAGTATAATGTACATGTACAGTCAGTTACAGTTCATGTGGATCTGTTGAAGCAGACATATTGGTTGTTGCCAGTAATGGGCCTTATTTCACGAGTCGGCCATATTGAATTGAAAGTGACGTGAAATTTTAATTTTTGGAACTTGCGAAGAGAAATGAAACCAAGTTAATTTCTTATTAATTCCAGTCTGCTTCAAATGCATAATTTTAAAATTTGTAATTAAACATTCCCTAATGTTTAACGCCAGATTTAAAAATAAATGACGGTTGGGTAAGGCTTCATTGTGCCTGCATAAATAGTCTGGCGCCATCCCATTCAACAGTTAACAGTTAATCAGATACATTCAGGGAACTTGGAAAAAAAATGACTAACTCGTGAATAAGGCCCATAAACAAGTGAACAAAGATACCTGCTGTAGGCCTACAGCATTGAGTCATATCTAGGTTTATGGTTTTCTTGCCAGAGGCTGTTAACTTTGGCCACCATTTGTGCTTTGGTTTCATAGTGCGTTATTTTCTAGTGGAAATTTTTTTTTTTCGTACAAGTAAACAATACTGAACGGTTTTTACTGTGTTAAATCAATTATGAGCGGAACTAATTTTAAAATTACTATTAATGATACATGTAGATGCAATGAGTATTATTGATTATTTTTATGTAAAATCCTTTTGAACATGTGAACATATGTTTTATTACTGATAATTTGCTTAACTCATGATGTATGTTTGATGCACAATATAGTTTTATTTTTTCCTGCAATAAATGATTTTATTGGTGATGAAGGGTCTCAGTTACTAATGTATGTGTTAAAGGGAATATACAACATTTGCAAACATCAAAAAACAAAACTCCCAAATTATCACGAAATGCCTTACTGGACTGTTAGTGAATGACAGTCTAAAGCATCCTATAAAATCATAACGAGGCTAAAAAGTCATAACAGCTCGGGTCGCGAAAAAATTTTTTTAAGGCTGTCGCGGAAAAAGTTGAAGGCGGGGGGGTGGATTCCGCTCCCGGCCTTTTAGGGTTAAACTAACCTGTTATTTTGGGGGATTTCCTTGAACTTGTTCAAGTCCCCCACATTAGGCAACCCATCGCTTAATCTTTAGCCCAATTGTTCCAGTAAGAAACTTTGTGAATTTGAAGCTCATCGATACCGACGTTTGGCGAGACTACTTGATGATATCTGAGGAAAAGGTAAATGCGCGCAACTTTAGGGGATAGGCCAATGGTAGCCATTTTTATTGTTGGTTATTTTCTCATAATCATCTGGTCTCTGATATGCTTTAGAAAATGTTATTAAAGTAGGATCTGGATGTAGAATCCAAAAAAATCCTTTTCCAAAAAAAATAAAAAAATTAATATACCAAAATATTGGAATTTATATTACACGGCAGGTATTAACATTTATGCAAATAAGGCACCCTTCCCAAAAGAATTTCAGGTGTCACCCCTTCTAAATAATTTCTTCAGGGCTTTAAGAATCTACATGTATCTGTCAAGTGTGGTGCTTTGGACCAGTCGGTCACGATTCCGCCCATATGCCACCTACCTATTGCTCGAAGCACAGTCAAATACACTACGAACGCAGTATTGCGTATTTAGCTGTTTCGGTAACACACCGAAACAGCTCTTGTTTTCGTTAAGATTTTTTTTTTTCTTTTTCTTTTTTTTTAGCTGTTTCGGTGTACACACCGAAACAGCTCTTGTTTTCGTTAAGATTTTTTTTTTCTTTTTTTTTTTTTTCTTTTTTTTTTTTTTCTTATTTTTCCACTTTTCTCCATAGGTTTTGTACACGTTTTTCTTCTACCAGTCCACTTTTGCATTTTCGTAAAAGCGATCAATTTCAGACTTGGCACACACTTAGACCACCACCCACAGATGGTCTTAGAAGAAATTCGTGATCGTTACGTCATCAGGTGTCGGGTTACGTCACATTAAAGATGCATTTTTCCCCATATGTTTTGTACACGTTTTAAAACACTCCACGTTGGGCACTGTCGTAAATCTGATGGTCCTCAGACGTGGCACACACTTAGACCACCAACCACAGATGGTCGTAGAAGAAATTCGTGATCGTGACGTCATCAGGTGTCGGGTTACGTCACATTAAAGATGCACTTTTCCCCATATGTTTTGTACACGTTTTAAAACACTCCGCTTTGGGCTCTTTCGAAAATCCAATCAACTTCAGACTTATTACATACTAACATCACAACCAACAGATGCTCCAGGAAGAAATTCGTGATCGTACAGTCATCAGGTGTCAAGTTACATCACATTAAAGAAGCATTTTTCCCCATTTGTTTTGTACACATTTTAAAATACTCCACTTTGGGCACTTTCGTAAAACTGATTGACTTCAGACTTCATACATGTACATGTACTTAGACCACTACCCACAGATGGAACTAAAA